GGCACCCAGCTGCCGCACAAGGGCTGGTGTCGGCCACCAGAGGTACACGCGGCCAGGAGCTGGACCACCAAGCACACGAGCAGGGCTGGTGGGGGCCGAGCCCCTGCGGTTCCCAGACCTGAGCGGTGTCCACACTCAGAAAGCAGCACCCACACTCGCTGCTCTCACCGCCAGCTCTGTCCCACCAGAAGTGACACATTTCCATGTACACCCTCAACACTTTCTATGGGGAGTAACGGCCACAATGCTCCTCCCACACAACTACAAAGAAGAATCTGCCGTGACGTCCCTCGTGGTTCCTCCTTCAAGGGGAAAAACATCTAACCCTCTTTAGCTTCCCTAGGCCAAAAACATTAAAACAAACCTGTACTTTCAAAAAGGCACAGGACACTTCTAAATCTTGAGCAAAGAGCTTTCTAAAACATATGGCTTCTCCACCTGGTTTGGTTTGGTCTGTTCCTTGGGTCTGGTGGGGAAACTCCCAGCACCCACAGGGATGCCCTGTCTGGGGAGCTGCCTCGATTCCGCAGCACCATGGCAAAGCTGCCCGCTAGTTCTCACTTCCAGGCACAAGTCTCAGTCTTGCTCACAGAACTAGATGGTGAGCTCCTTGAGGGAAGGAGCTGTGACTGCAGGCTCTCATGTGACCCCACACCCGCGCCTGGCCCTGCCGTGAGAGCCCAGGCTGTGACCTGCAGGCCCACACTCAGGCCACGTTACCTCCACGATCATCTTCACTGTAGGCAGCGTGGTTGCGATGTTCTGCGGGTGTGGAGGACGGACGGTTATCGGCACACACCCTGCGTACAGGCAGCCATAAAATGCAGCAATGAGGTCTATTCCTACATGGGGGGAAAAGCAAAAGTTCTCACTTGAAACAAATCCAGCTGTTTAATGGCTGTTGTGCCCGTCAGCAGAACCACCGTCCTGGAAAAAGCCAGACGGCTCACGGGTAACGGAGGCCTTTAACAGACCCTTTCCTCACCTCGCAGGTTTGTTAAACTGCGGGGACGACTTCCGCTCGGTCCTTTTCTTTTTAGGCACAAGATGCCAAAGCAGCCAAGAAGCTACTTGCTGTCATTTCTCTCAGGACTACTCAACTCTGAACTACGGGTTAAACGAACTCCCTCAAGTATCTAATAAAACAAATCTAGATAGAAAAATCTGTGTAAAATTACTGCTTTACCTGTGCCCCCGTTACCAGTCGTACAGCGCGCAGCACAGTCCCAACTGACAGTGAGCAGACACAGGGAGCCAGGCAGGAGCCGGCGCCCACTTCTGGTGCTAACACGGCAGCGGCACCCAGCACTAGCAGGGGCCTGCTTCTTACCGGGTGGGTAGACCAGAGCAACGTGGTCCCCGTCCTGCAGGTGTCCCCTCTCCATCAGCATCACGGCTATCTTCTCAGCCCGTTTATGCAGCTGGACACAAGTCAGCGAGTTTGCTATCGTTCCCTGAGTAGCACAAGAACAAGGAGGGAGGACTTTAGAAACAGACCAGCTTTGTTAAGATATAGTTCATATACCATACAACCCGCTTGTTTAAAATGTACAGTTAAATGGGTGCTAGTGTCTGAACCGAGTCGTGACCACCGCCACAGTCAGCTTTATAAGGTTTTTTGTCACCCCCTCAAGAGACACCATCCCATTAGCATTCACTCTCCTTTCCCTCCCACCAGCTAAGAAGCACAACACTGAAGAGGCATCTAGAAATACTTGTATTAACAGGACATTTAAAGAAATAATTATTTGACCTCAAAAATAGCTAAAACTTCCAAAGGAAAAATCAACCTAGTCATTCTGGGACTTAAGTGTACCTGTCATGGGCAATACAAATTAGCAGTAAATCTGTAGGACTCATACTATGAAAAATAATAATAATAAAAATATTTTTAAGAAGGACCACATCAAAAGTCAGGGAGGTCAGAAAACAGACAAACCTCCAAACAAGCAACAGGCAAAACAAAACGAAACGAAAAAAAACTACGAAAGAAAAAAATGAATCGTCAAGTTTATCTAACGTAGACTTTTCAAACATGCAGAAGCAATTGTAAAGCACACTTAGATTGAAAGGCACTAATAGGGAAAATCAGTAGCAAAATCGGTACTAAGAGATACCAAAATACATATACTTATTCTTTATACCAAAAAGAAAAGCATGAATAAGCTGCAAGTTATAAACACGTTAAGTAGCCAGAGAAAGTTCCTCCTAAGGACGAGGCTTTCATTTGCGCACATTCCCGGGAAGAAGAGGGCACTGTCCAAGCTGTTTAAAACTGCTCTTCATAATCACATCCCACTTCACAGGGATGGACAGGGTGAACGACCTTTCCTTAAGCAGCGGGCGAACTGGCCGGGAGCGTCAGGTCAGCAAGCCCAGGCCAGACACTTTTATTAGGTGGGGAGCTTCCAAGGAGCGTGAGTGAGCCAGTGGGGAGCTGTGGAAAACACTGTCCCATGTGCAGAAAGGAGCCTCAAGGAGCAGCTGGTCATGCGGGAGGAGAACATGTGGACAGAAGAGCCCAGAACCTTCAGGGCCATTAAGGAACACCGGGGACCCGGTGGCGACGTGTGGGAAGATACAGAACTCCCACCCAAACGGAACACTTGCCTGGCGGGAGGGACCCGGAGGGAGGGAGAGCCGGTCACAAGGCATTGGGACAGAATTACCAGTGCCTGGTGTTACTCCCAGGGTCCCGGGTGGCCGCAACCACCCTGGGAATCAACATGCGGGGCCCTCGCTGAGGGAGGCTGCCAGGCGGCTGTCCGGCTGGCTCCAGCCCTGTCCTGCTGTGCCAGGACCGGGCCCTCATGTGGTGGACAGGCTGAGCTTACACATCTCGTCCCTTAACTGTGTTCCTTCTGAGTAAGGTCTAAAAATAATAGCAAGAGATACATGAAGTGGAAGAGCCAGAGAGGAGAATGCGACAAAGCTGGGTCAATACAGAGAGACCTCCAAGACTGGTGTCTAGAAATCTAGCCCAAACGCTGGAACACGGCACCTTTCACCTCGGGAGAAATGCCACTGCTTTTCAGCTACACACTTTGTATTTTCCACTCGCTGTCACGACAAACATGAATGTCACAGGGGTCCATGAAGTAGTGGGATTTATCCTTAGGTTACTGGTTGCCTTGCACCCTCAACATTCCTGGGAGAAGTCGGATGTCCCACGGGGAAGCCCACTGCCTAAGGAGGTGGCTCTACGG